ACTGAATAATTATTTTTTCCATTAATAGAAGATATTTATTTACTCCCCACAAGAGACGAAAGAAATCCTGTAGTTTATGGCGTCTTCACCACAACAAGGTATGTAAAAAAAATGTTTTTAATCCTTTTAGAAAAGTTATATACGTATGTGAACACATATAGTTACATGATTTTTGTCTCTTTCTTTACAGCAACATGCTATACGATGTTTTCCATTTTACCTGTTCACTTAGTGTTTTTAAGAAATCTTTCATATCCCTATAAAAACTTGCTTCCTTCTTTTTAAACCAGTATAGCAGCCCCTATGACACTAAAGTTACTTAAGCAGCCCTCTGTATGTTCCTGGTTTCTAGAACTTTGCTGCCACACATGGTGCACCATAGAACATGCCATTCCACATGCAAACAAGTATATCTCTGAGATGAATTCTCAGCATAAAATTGCTGGGTACAAAAGATGTCTGCATATAATATTCATAATAAATACTTACAAACTTAGGGACATAGAAGTAACACTAAAGAAATGAATGAGAAATGATTAAGTTCACTGGCAAAGCTGTGATTAATTAATCATGAATGGGATTCTCTAGACTTTTATCTTCTCATCACATCACAAGATGTCTTACTTGCATGTCCTGCTACCTAAAATGATGAGAGTGTGGATGTTAGGACCATGTCACTGTTTACTTCTTTAACAATGAAAGTTGGCTCTATCCACCCAAAGAAGAATAACCAGTTAGCAGCAAAAGTAGGACTAGAACAGAGAGGTTTTTTTAAATTTTTATCCCTGTATTCTTGTTTTCTTTCTGTCTTCTAAACATCATCAAGATTTTGTGAATTGCTTAAAAATTGTACTAGCATCTATGAAGCTTTCTCCAAGAAGATGTGATCCTCGCTGTCTTCATTTTATTTCAAGAGTAACCTACATTTGACAATATTCAAAGCATATTTTTTGCCCCTGTTACATGTTACTGCTTTTGAATTTGTAAATATTTTTCACTCTTTCCACAACTCAGCTCTCAATGTATGTTGACAGGCATATTGGAAGAACTATGATATTGTTTGGTTTTAGTGTATTCTTTTGAATAAATCCTTAAACTATTTTGTATACATGTTCTAGTTTGGTTTCCTCTTTATGGCATATTCCTCATTTCGTTCATAATACCTTCTACACAAACTGAAATTCTCTAATGGTTCAGATTATAGCAAAAAACAAAATAGTATTTGATTAATTATAAAATGAAGTTAATATTTGAACATGAGAATAAAGAAAAAAGCTTAAGAACTTGCTATTTTGGAATTCATATTTCTGTTACTTTATATATGAATATAAAAATATGCAGACTTCTGAGTTTGGTTGCATACACTTATACCTCACACTTTAAGAGGCTGAGGTAGGAGGATCACAAGCTCAAGGCCAGCTTTAGCAACTTGGTAAGACTCTGTCTCAAAATAAGAAATAAAAATAGTCAGGGATGTAGCTCAGTGGTAGACTGTTCCTGGGTTCAATCCCTGGTAGAAAAAAAAAAAAAAAAAAAAAATGCAGGAAGAAAAAATGTCTGTAGTTACTCAATTATCTCAGCCCTAGATCTCTTGGCACCTTTCCTTTCACAGAACTTTCTTTGAAGTCAATGTGTGCTTCATATACAAGACACAGATATGTGCCAGGGAAATGCAGCCCCAAGATAGTTCTTTTTTTTTTTCCTATCAAGTTTCTGCCCACCCAGAATGTGAAGTTACAAGTTAGCTCTCTGTTCTTGGTGTTCTTTGTTATTTTATTTTTTAGTGGTGCTCTGAAGACTGAGGTAATGTCAGAATGTATGTCATGTCTTTGTCAAGCGAGAAGACATAATTAGCCTGCAATAATGCCAATGCCATTAAACATGATGCATTATTCTTTTAAGAATTCTTTTAAGATTTCATAGCAGATGTGTAATTTTTATGGGAACATCACCTCTCTTCTTAGCTGCTAGTTTTCTCCTAACTGCCTGTTCACCGTTACCTCCTGATGTTTCCTATTAATGTCATTCCAAGAATATTAATAATTGAGTTACTCATGCTAGAGAATTGTTGGCTTGTTTGTGCAATTCTGAGGTGATAAGTTTCTTAGATCATAAAGGGTGATCTCATTTTTTAATAACAGGAATCATTGAAAGAAATCATTCAAAGAAATTTAAAGAAAATGTCCTGTAACTTCCAGAACTAAAATAAAAAAAGAATTATCTGATGGTGTTAACAGTTTATATCAGTAGTGTGCAAAACTTTGTAGAATTCCTATGGAGCTTCTCTTAAATGCTGTCTCTGAGATTATGTAATTATAAGTAAGTATAAGATAAGTAACTATAAAAGCTCAATTCATGTAGCAAAATGCAAAAAAAAAAAGATGAAACATTTAAAAATCAGTTTAATAAACATCATATGAATAAATTATTTAACTTATGTAAATTTTATGATGAACACTATTTTTTGCCATATATTTATTGGTGTTTTACCATTGTACATTATGGTGTGATTTGTTGCTACTATTCATATACACACACAACATAAATGATATAATTTGAAGGATATCTTTCCCCAGTATTTCCTCTTTCCTTCCCTCCTTTCTTTCTCTGGCCCCTTTCCTCTAATCTTCTGATCTCCCTTCAGTTTTCATGAGATCCACCTCCTGCTTCCTTTCCTTTTCTTTTTCCTCTCTGGCTTCCACATACATGAGAACACATAGAACACTGGACTTTCTGAGTCTGGCTTATTTTGCTTACCATAATTGAACATTCACTTCAAAAAGGAAGATAAACGTGAGATGATT